AGGGGCAAAGTAAATGTAATTGTCGTTGCCAGGTTTCTTTGAAAGCCTTCTTTGGAAAACCTGGTCCCTGGTTTGAAGAAGGAGATCTCGATGGTGACAAGAACTCAATATTCCATGATCTAGATGGTTCAGTGACTGACTACAAGGATACCTATGTGGGCAGAATGGATAACTACTTGATTCAACACCCTAAATGCGTTAATATTACAGAATGGAGTGGAGTGGTTTGCAGTGGGACCTATGCACAGGCTAGTACTCCTGTAGCTTTCTATTTAGGGCGAGTCTACAATATGAACAGTTTGTGGGAGCAGGAGGAGTGTAAGAACTGCAAAATTACCTATCTTTTCATTTAAAAATTCTTTGACATTTTGACATCTTAAAAATACTTTGATGCATATTACACATTTCAGCCAATTGTGTGTATGATGTTCCCTTTGGCACGCAAACTGGGAGTACAGTATTAGATGCTGCAAGGTAAAACTAAATGTGTATGCATGGCAGAATTCCTATATTGCAACCCTGTCTGCTAAACATTTTTGTATTGGAGGTGTTTTCTTCCAGTGGAGTTCTGTCTCTTTTTCACAGAGTGGGTTTTAGGCACACTTTTTGTTGTTGTTATTGTTTAATGGAGATGTTAAATACCACCTTCTGAATACAAATCTCGCATAGGTTTGATTCCCATTCTGGTTCCTGCTCTTATATGAGTTTGGCCAAGTACCGTAGCTGATTCTGTATATTTTTTTCCCCTCCTTCCCCTTTTTTATGGGGAAGGACAAAATATACAATAGTTTTTCAAATAGGGCAGTTCTTCAGGAGATGTTTGTGTATTGCGTAACTCAGAACATCAAATTGCAGTGTTTTGGCTAATAATGTAGTGATTATTCTTCACTATTTCATTTCCTTTTACTCAATGTCCAAATCTTTCCTCTTTCTTTTCATGCTTCTTAATATCATGTAGGTTTATGTCCAAACCTGGAATGGGCAGAATCTTTCCATGACTATCGTACGAGATGAGTACCCAGCCAATCCCATGGTTCTTCGAGGTATTAATCAGAGAGCTGTCTTTCAACAGTACCAGCCAGTAGTAATGCTGCAAAAGGGCTACACAATACATTGGAATGGAAAAGCTCCAAATGTCACCTATCTTTATCTCATTAACTTCAACAAGTATGTTTACTTCTTTTCATGTCATTGATCCATAAGACAATAATGAAGTAATGTCCTGCAGAATTAGCATGCGTGAGAGTTTGCAACTGTCAGTAAAACTGCATCTTGAGTTGTTTTTTTTTTTTTTTTAATTACAAATACCAAAGTATGAAAAGCAAGAGATTAACTTTAGGTGCAGGTCTATTGCTTAAACTTTTGTCCAGTACAGTGTCTTTAAAGAAAATCCTTTGGAGAAGAGAATGTGCAAATAGTGAAGTTGAGCAGAATTGGAGTTGAATAGTTCAGCATACTTGATTTTGTTGTCAGATAAATTTATGAAATGTCTAAAGTATAAAATCAAATATATCCTGAGAGTATCAAAGTTACTATAACATTTAATGAAACACTTTGTGTAGAGAGGAGAAGAAAGATCTTCCAGTTGAGGGTTTGGGAGCTTTTTATGTTCCTTTTACTTGTCTTTTCAGTGATCTGTTTGCTGCATAACATCATTTAAACTGTTCCTATGGTGAATCATACATTTTATTTTGTTTTCAGGAACGACTGGGTTCGTGTTGGTCTTTGTTATCAACTGAATACAGATTTTGTTATAGTATTGGAAACCTTTCAAAGGCGGTCATCTGCTCTGACAAGCAAGGTAGAGCGCTACGTGCCTGTGTCTTCAATGATGGAGCTTGAAAAGAATCGATCGGACAAGAAGTTTTACTTTGACAACAGTACTGGGTAACTCCTTGTAACTTGACCCTGTTGGAAGATGATTTTTAACGTTAAAATATCCAGTTTGATAGTGTTAAAAGCAACTGATTCAGACACCTGCATAAGAGGAAAGCTGTTGCAAAGGAGTCCAAAGACTGTTTGAAAGAATACTTTATATGACTGAATCTCCAAAATGCAGTGGTTGTCATTGAAATGTCATTTTCCGAAAGCACCACAATTGCCACAGATATTTCCTACCCTATGCCTGGGGAAAATGTGGTAGCTGGCATGCTGCAGAGCAGTGTCTTTCAGGAAGTAACTTCAAAGTCTTTAAGAAAACTGTGCCGCCTTGTTAAACTGAAAATTCTAGAAATTTCTAAGAAGTTTTCTCTTCCAAGAACATTTTAAGAATGTATTTCTGAAAATCCCAATTTGTTTTCAGGCTTCTTGAAAGTACTCGAAAGTCCTAGTGTCTCTTTCGAAAGTACTTCTGACAGAGACCGCTGAGGTCTTTCTGAGAGGTTTTAAGATATGTTCAACTTTGAGTAAAATAAATCCTACATACGTCACTTGTGTGTTTTGCAAATGTTGACCTTTAATTTATGATTTGTTATCTTAGATATTTTGTTTCCTTGTCTGCTACTTTATCTGTCTGTAGTAAATATGCAGATGAATGTAGCTTTTGAAAAGACGTTTACATTTCTTTTGTCTAAGAGCAACAATGATAAGTCAGATATATAATAGAAGAATTACCATTCTCTGTGTACTGTGAACATTAATGACCACTACCTCCTAAATTGCATTTCCAGGCATTTGCAACAGTACAATTCCATTGTCCAGTGCTGGTGGGTGAAACTGAATATTCAAACAGTTACGGCTGGGTATATGCAAAGATCTATGATGAAAGAAAACATTTGTGCTCTGCAGTTTGGTTTTTGTTTCCTGCAAGCCACTGATTTGAGGAGTGGCTGTTCTTTTCAAAGCATATGCATTTATAATCATGTCTCCTTTAATTGTTGGGAATTTCAGATATGTCAGTAGAGACTTCCTAACTCTATTAAACTGTAAATATTTTGAAAAAGTTTGAACAATGGTGCAGAAGTGAGTACTGTAGTTTCTCTGCTTCTGAAAATCATGAAAAGTAGCTGTTAAGGTTTAACATAAATATCTATCTTTGCAGCAATTGATCTGGATTTTTTTTTTCCCCCTTTTTGTGTAGATTACTGTTTTTATTTCTTCAAGCCAAATATAATAGGGATGGTCACAGTTATTGCTCATCTCAGGGATGTGAAAGGATCAAGATTGTGACCAAAGATTCAGCAAAAGGGATCAGTAACTGCATGGCAAAAGCTTACCCAAAGTACTACCAAGGACCAACTGTCATAAAGCAGATGCCAGTAAAAACTACTGTACCATGTACAAAATGCGGCACAACTCAGGTAAAATCAAATAAGCAAAAACTTTCATGAACTATATAGTTGGTGTTGCTGTCTATTCGCTTTAAGGCAAAACTTCAGTCTTTCAGCATAGAATACTGCACCTACCAGTTTGTGATGGTCACATTGTTAATCTCCTGTACACTAGAAGGACCTTGTAGGGCAAAGGTTTCAGGTTTTGTTCTTTGAAAAATACTGCTTCACCTCCTGCTCTGAGTGCCACAGAGAAAGGACATAGGTAGATCTGATATCATGTAGTCCATGTAGGGTAGCTTTGCTGCAGAGGTCTATATGCTGTTGGCCAACCTTCTCTCTTCTTTTTTGGATCTTTGCTTATTAGCATGAACTTGAAATTGCATTATCCATTTTAGCGATACAAGCTGAGAAAAATACTGAAAGAAAGGAATAAAATAGGTTACAGTATACATCATGATATTTATTAGCATTGCTAGTACCATAAATAATGCCACTGACAAATGGATGCATTTGCTTTGGAGCATGGGTGGTCTGTGGTAAATTGTCTGTCATGGTAAGGTATTGAAGATACATGGATATGTGTACTTAACTTCTTTCATTTGATATCTAGATGGTATTCACCAGTGATCCTCACAAAAACTACCTCCTTGTGCAGATTAATTCATCTGGTAAAAAAGAGTTAAGCAGAGGTCAGCAAGCATTTATTTCTGTAAGTATGGTTTTCTTCTAACTGTCTTTCTAGCAGTTTGTATTACAACAGTTGTACAGCTCTGCTTAATGCTGACCTCACTTTTCTTCACTTGAATGAAAGTGTTGGTTCATAGTTTAAAAACCAAACAGTCAAAAAGCTGATGTTTTAACCTTCAGAAAATGAGGCTCCAAGCTCCATTTTTGTATTCGAATCCTTTCCTGCTGGAGAGAAAATTGTACCAGTAAGGGAGAATTTTAAATCTTTAGGTTCGTGTTGAAATCTGGATGGATATATGTTTCTTGATGTCTGCTTTTGAAAAGAAAAAAAAGAAAAAAAACAAAACAAAAAACAAACTAACCCCAACCAAACAAAACCAAACAGCCTGTTAGTTAAATCCATGTTGTTGAAATTGGTTTTGTGCTAACAGATTGGTAAATTAATGGGATGAGTCATCCAAGCCATTAAGCTTTGCTAAACTCCTTCAAAATGGCAGTTATTAAAGAATCCGTAGAGTTTTCTGTATTTGTTCTGATGCAGTCCTGATTAAGTGTAGTAATGTGATACGGTATAAACAGTAGTTTGCATTGATTTTTCTCTTTGGATGCTGAAGGAGACTTGCACATGATGCTGAAATAGCGTTTGCAGACATCTTCATACCACAAAGCTTAAAGTCTGTATGTGGCTTAAATTCTGCAATGTCAGTGCATTAGCTTAGTTGAAATAGTAAAACTCTTGAGCTCTTTAAATAAACAAATGACATGTGAGCAGCATAACCTTAGCAGCTGTAAAGTTGCACAGGAATGTGTGCTGTATCCAAATCAGTAAGAGTGCTCTGTAGGAAGAAACTGGGCTGCAACTGGGCTGCTGCAGAGACAGATTAACTGTACTATTGCCAAGAAGTGCAGGTGATTTGGTATCTGAATTTTAGCTTCCCGAAGCAGGAGCAGTGACTGAGGCATGTGGTAAGTCACCTGAAATGTATAGTCTCCATGTAGAAGCCAGGAAATGAAGGGTCCGAGGCAATTTCGGAAGTCCTACTGAAATCCTTCCCTGAAGGGGGAAAATGAAGAGATGCTAGGGAGAAGCAAGTATTTGTAAGGAAATTACACCACTGAACTAGATGAAGATTAATGCTGAGTACAGTAGAATCACTGTTGGATTCATATTAACTTTAAGAAAGGAAGAAAAAGTTCTTTTCTCTTTTTCTGCTCCCATTCAGGTCAATGACACTATGTTTTCCTTCAAGGATAATGGTATACTTATCGTTGCAGTTGATGCCTGCATTGGCACAGTGTCAGGAAACAAATTATTTTCCGGAGTAGACATTAAGCGTGTAGATGGATATTTAAAATCTGGAATTCCACAAAGGTATGTGTAGTGACCATTTGTTTCCAGGATGTCCTGTAAGCTGCAGCTCTGCTCTCTAGCAGGTATTTAAGTAATGATGTCTGTACAGGAGCAGTGAAAGTGAGCAAGACATGTTTATATACATAAGTTGAGGGGAAAGGAGGAACTTAAGGTTAACTTGCCTGTTAAAATACTTTATTTGAGAAAACAAAGCAATTCAAATTTTGAATACTTAAAATTTTGCAGTGTTGCTTGTCTTTCACTTCAAAAAGAACTTTTTTTTTTAACTAAACATCATGTAATAACACTTCTTTGCTTAAAACAAGAATAACTTTTTGTTGAATAAGGTCACTTAAGGACACTGACAAGGACTATGTCACAAGATATCATCCTCTTCAAAAAAAAAATCCAGGGAGAAAATTGCTTATCATTAAAGAAAGATAAAAAGTTAGAATCAGCATTCTAACAGTCTAATCTTGGATCCATATCTAAAGTTGATTTTTTGATGCAAATATTAAACTATATTTAAATAACGCTTTCCAGTAATTTTGAACTTAAAAGTAAGTTTAAAAGAAAAAATTCTAGGTGGCTGCTTTCTTTCTAGGGTACTTTCTGAGAGGGTTGACTATTTCCATGTCATTTCATGACCTGGCATGAGTACTCTTAAGCAAGTGGACTATGAGCTGTAAAAGCATGTAGCAGAATATTAAGAAAACTTTGTAACAGCTGCTATCTCTTCACCTTTTCTGCTGCAGGTCTGTTGTTCTACTGGGCACAAGAGGTGATGTAGCAATTCCTAATAATTTGTCAGAAGCCTTCATGTCCCTGGGGACAGCCAAACCGCCTTATCTTCAGAGCAGCGGTTGGTGGAAATTTTGCACGTTTCTTTGACACCGCCTTGGTCTGTGTGTTTATGTTGGCGTGGTGGGTTTCTCATGGGGTGTGTGAAAAGGATGCAGCTGGCGGAGAGTGGTTGCCAATTTGCACTGCTGTGGGCTGCTGCGTTTCAGCCCTTGTTGAGAGCTGGGGTGCTGCAGAGCCCTGCAGCAGATGGGGCAGAAGACCCTTCCCGTTGCCCTGAAGGGTGGTGTGTGAAGCCTGATGCAAGCAGAGAAGTGACTGGCACTTCTTTGTGCCTGTGGATTACAGGAAAAGAACCCCAGGCTTTTTTCCAAAAGCCTGTATTTTGTGCCTTACCCAGCAAATCTATTTTTAAACCATCTCCTGTGCCAGGCTAGCATTTCCTGTTTTAACAAAATTTGAAGGTAAGGATGAGAAGCTGTTGGTATTTAGAGGGATGGTCACCTTATAGGCCACATGGGGTAGCTCTCATCCGTTCAGGGCCCTGGCACAAGTTCTGTCTGAGAAAGCAGGTTTTATAACTGTCCCAATAGCTGTGTTTTCAAATTAAGATTTCAGACTTTAATACTGAATATTGAAAAAGGAGTTTGCAAATCAGTATTTCCTTGTGAGGTGCACATGAAGCTGAGAGTGGATTAATGTCCTAAATAATCTGGGGGGAAGAATTTCAGAGGAGCATACCATTCCCTTCCTGACCGGTCTTGTGTTGTGCTTGGATGGGCTTGGCTGGTTCGGTAACACTGAGCTGTTTTTGTCACAGGAAGCTTGGCCTTTGTGGGCTTTAGAGGAAACTTTAAGCCATCCTGGATTAAGCTGTTTACCAGTCCTGCTGGGCATGGGCTCGTTCAGATAGAAAAGTATATCCCTTTACAACTGGAAGAGTATGGCTGTGCCAGAGCAATCAAAAGCCGACGGAAAGACCTTGAGCTTCTGAAGCAGGCTACACGATCTCATTAAGGACTAAGATGTACATAAAAACTGGGGAAGAAAAATGTGAACTAACTTATTTTTTAATTTATGGCATTTTAAACTATATTGTTATCCAAGTAAATCATGTTATTGTCTGACAGATGTTTGCCAGCATTGACTGCTTGAATGCCAATCTGTGCACCTTCTAGTTGTACAAAATATTGAAGATTTTATTAGTATTTGTATAAACAGGTTTCAGAGATTTTTCAGATGTTTGTATTTACTGTAAACAAGTTCCTTCTCTTTAATACTCCTTTTGTATGTGAGAGGGTGTTCATAAAAGCCTTAAATTTTTGATAACAGGTATTGGAGTGCATCTTGGATTACTTGAACGATCAACATTAAAGTCTCTATAAACAGCTTGCATTCGTCATTATAACTTATGCATTTTTCCTCAGCTGTTTAGGTGTTTTTCTGAGGGTTTATTTAGCAGTCAGCTCAGTTACATTCTCAGTCTGTTTTCCAAGTTGTTAAAACCAGTATCCCCTATGCATGCAGCTGGCTCAAGGGTTTTTAACAGCAGTAAAATTTTTGCTTTGCTGTATGAAAGATGGAGAGCGGGGATTTAAAGATACAGCGTGAGGCTGGGTGAGGATTGTATACTGTGCTACAGAGTTTAACAAGGCTATGTGTACCAGCATGGCATACAGAGCAGAAAATGACTACCATTCTTTGGGGTCACTGTTTACTCTTCACCGCTAAATATACAGGTGTCTGTAAGAGTTATGTCAGTAAACAGTCTGGATGTTAAAGCTGCAGTCTTGTGTACAGCTTGACTTCAGCCTTTTCTTTTACAGCTTTTAGCCAGAAGGGCAAAGCTGAGATATCATTGTTATTGATTTGTTATGAAGCTAAGCTTCTACTTTTGCAGTGATTTTTTTTTTTTTAAAGCTATCCCAGCTTTAACTATTAAGTGAATGGAAAGTGCTCTCAGTTCATTCAGGCATGTTATATCTTCCACCTTAACTTTGATTCTTTTAGTGTACTCGTGTTGCTAATTCCTATTGATTTTATATTAGGTCCGTTTGATTTCTTTTGGTTTTGTTGGAATTATTTGACCCTTTCTGCAGATGGTGTGAAAATCACTTAGAAGAACTGAGGCACAGCTGCCCTTTTTCAGGATCCTAGTCTTTGAAATTAAATTTCAGAGACTGTAGAGATGGATTTCATAATAGGGAACAATAGGTGCCATAGAACTAAAATGTAACCATAGTTCTAATAAAACTGGCATAGTTCCTTCTTCTTGTATATGTTCTCATTCATTCTAGCTGGTATAATACATCCACCATTCAGAGATGTTTTGTGCTTTGAATTCAAAATGGAGTGGCTGTTGGAAATGAACTATATATGCCTGTCTTCTCCAAAGAAGTTGAAAAACTGTGGGGATTTCTTTTGTGCTTTAAAGGAGAGGAGGCACAGTAGCAGACCTATTATTCTGTTCAATTGAAATATGCTACCTCAGTGTTACAATTAAACTGCTTGGTCTAGTGTAGTTTCCTAAGAGAGAGGGGAGGGGAAAGGAGCACAACACAAGAGGTGAAGTTAATGAATAGATGACTGATGTTATTTTTGTTGTAAAACCAAGCCAAATGAGTGATTGTGTATTTTGCAGTTGTTTTGATGCACAGTTCTCTTATAATGTTTTTTTTTTAAAAAAAAAGGCATTTTGTTAGGGAGAGATGTGGTAAATCTTTAAGACTAGCTGTAATGTTTGGTATTACTAATGCAGGGCCATGTGATTTAAATGCTCTGAGTGCAGTAGTGATAGTGTTTGGGGATTAAAATGGTTTTAAGACTTCCTCTGTTCTGTGGGTCACGCTCAGCAGAGAAATACTGATGAGGTTAGTGACCTTCAGGCTTGTGAAGCTGGCCATTATTTGTGAGATTCTGCTGTTCTAAGCCATCTTGTAAAACTTGTACTTGGAAACGTCAAGGGTGTTCTGATATAGGGCTTACTGATGGACAATTGGACCTGAAGTTGAAGTGTTATTTTTGTGTAAATTTAAACACTTGTTAAGTAGCATAAATAAATTTTTACATCTGACAAGGCAATAAAATCTTGGGTCTCTTCCGTTCTTGTGTCAGGTAATTTTGTAATGTGTTGTGTGAATACTATAAATATTTTATTTCAAACACCAATAGACCTGTGAAGTTTTTGAAGTGTATCCTACTCTCTATTCAGGGACAAGTTGGGAGTACTGGGAAAGGAGACACTAATGGTGGCTGAAGTTAGGGACCTGTCTCCAAAGTCTGTCGTCTTAGAGTCTGTCTGAGCTGCTGAGCATAGAGTCATTTCAGCTTGGTGGGGGCCAGTGCAGGATTGTTACCTCCTCGGAGACATCTTATCCATGTCTATAACTACCTACTGCGGGAGTAAAGAAGATGGAGCAAGGCTGTTCTCAATGGTGCTCAGCAGCACAGGACAAGAGACTGTGGGCATACATTGAAATGCAGGCGATTCCACATAAGCAGAAGAAAAACTTTTACTGAGCAGGTGGTCAGGCACAGGAACAGATTGCCACAGAGGCTATGGAGTCTTGGTCTGTAGAGGAGCAGCTGTAACAGACCCTGCTTTGAGACACCGAGTGTCCTGGGCCATCTCCAGAGATGGCTGCCAACCTGGGTGCCACTGTGGTTGTGCGCAGTTACAATTACCAAAATTACCAATGTACTTAGCCTCTCTTTTCCAAGCACACCAGCTGCTGCAGCTCTCATGAGCTGAGCCACACACCTTTCATCTCATGCCTGGAACTCGCTGAGATCTTAAAAATGAGGCATCTCTGCCCCAAACCCAGTCCAAAAGGCATGGTCAGGCTTTGTGTACAAATAGATTGATTTTCATTCCTTGCTCAAATGGTGTCATTCTGCAATAAAGAAACTAAAAAGCAACAAGTAGGAAACAGCAAAAGAATAAACAAACTACTTGGAGCAGGGAGCAGAATAAGGCACTGTCTCTGGCCAGAGGCGCTACCAAAAATCCACTGTATGAGGGGCTGGAGACCAATCCCTGTAGAGCTGAAATGATGGCAAGGTCATGCTTTAGGAAAAGATAAACTTAATTCTTCATATTGTGGGAGTGCAGTGACAGCTGAGTCCCAGATAACTTCTGACCCAGGACATGACAATAGGTTTTCCCGTTCGAGGCAAGTCCTGTGATTTCCTCTGCTTCTCCTCAACTCCTTTTCACATTATGTAGGAAGGATGTACATCTGAGAACAGTCACCCAACTTTGACTGAAAAGCCCAGTCCACTGGGTTTGATGATAGCTGTATGATACGGTGCAGTGATCAATGAAGCTCACAAGGGCAGTTCATGGCTGTAATTGTTTAAGGTGATCCTGGTGTCATCCTAGTGTCCAAGCATCTATGAAGTGCGAACAAAAGCAGTAACTTCTGAACTTCAAAATTGCATTTATGTGAGATTTTACCAGTAATTACTTTTCTGGTCTTGTGGTCATACTTGTTGTAGCAAGTATTGTACTTTCCTAGAGTTCACGAGCATATTTTTCTTTTCTAATACCTTCTTTTTTCCTGTGTCTTGTGCTAATTAAAATTCTAAAATAACACTCAGTATTGAAGTATATAAGTCCATCTTTGGCCTGAGAGAATGTATGAGCTTTTTAATGCTATGGCCTGGGAGTACTGCAGTTTTGCTTATTAAATTGTATTAACAATTGTAACTTGCTAAAAAAAAAAAACCAAAAAAGACTAGTCTGGCCGTTAACTTGCATGACTCAGAATGATGGGACTGGCCAGTCATAGAAGTCCACCTCTCCTTTTTTATGGGATGAAAAGCTGAAAAATGAATAGTTTTGGGGTACAATAGGAATGCTGTGGGGAGAGAGCAGTCTGAGGATCTGAGATCAGCCTAGACTTTTCTGATGCGTGGTCTTGTGCCGGCTCTTGTGTCCTTCCCTTAATCCATACTGAAAAAATTCAGAGATACTTGTGCTTTTCTTGAAAGGTTTGTGGTTGTCACATTTGGTGTACTAGTGAGAAATTGGCTGGGTCAGATCACAGAGAAGTTTCAAAGTAATCAGTCTGTATAAACTTTGTCCTTAAAGAGCAACTTTTTCTCTTTTCTGATTTCTATTGTTTTTAAAAGTACAAAGCAGACTTAATTGGCGTGCCTGGGAGGCAAATTCTTTCTTTCATCTTTGTCCAAGTTGAATGGGGTGACAGCTGAATATCCTGATTTATAATTTTTTTCTGAGGAAATGTTCTTAGAACATGCAATGGCCTGTCTTTGTGTATAATTATTGTAACAGAACATAAAACCAAACTGATAGTTCAGGATTATTTTTGTGTGTGTGCAAGTTTATAAGTAATGATGTTGTACTAGAACTGCTATAAACAGTCAGAAATACATTCTCTTTCCTGTGCAGCATTTTTAGTGATGTTTTCAACAGATACACTAGGATCAGTTCAGGGTGTGTTTTGTATAATTGGTAGCTTTTATGGTTGATGACATATCATCTTTTTAATGTCTATGAGGTTCTTGAGCAGAAGATGGTTTACTCTGCAGGGTGTGAACTATGATCTAAGAGTTTTCTTCCATTTCTGGTGCAAATGACTGGTGCATATTCTCAGTAATGGCAGACAACACCACAGTTATCTGTGGTCTCATTTCTATTTCTGAGAAATGATTCTATGATGAGCATCACTCAGTAGTATATACTGCACATTTCTGCTTTTTAATAGTTTTTTTACTAATGTAATGTAAATTTCCGTATGGCAGCATGTTCTGGGTTAATTTTTTCTTTTTAATATTCCTATATTGATATCAGATTTTTGTGTCCTTCACGATAGTGAAATGCAAAGTATTAGCAGATACAAGTATTTATACTCACAGGAATGATACCAGCATGCACAATTGCCCTTGGATTCCTTCTGCTAGCTAGCAGACAAATGTAAAATAAGAGCTCATGTCAGGCTTTAATAGTTGAACATGGAAGAAAACAGATGAAGGTTCAAGAAAAGATTGTTTGCAGCCTCTTTTCCCTGTAAGCCACACACACCTTTCTCCTTTTGCTTTCTCGGGACAGGATTATCCTCACCACTTCCCTCTCATCCGTAAGGGCTAAGATGCTGCTCTGGTTAAGTATCTTGTTGCCATAGAATTTGCCACTTCTGATATTCCCAATGTTTTCCTGCGTGGGGATTTTTCTGAGTAACTGTCCATCTTTCTCCATTAACTCTGTTTGTGAAGCGTCTTGGGGAGTGGTTTGGGACCACTCACTCCTGTTTTCCCACC